AGAGGATTTATTGCCAAACAGAATATAGAAGGTTTTGTCAATGTTAAGGGTGAGTTTGTTGGCAGTTAGCCAAAGATGGACTTTATTTAGCTCAGTATTTACTGTGGCATTTAGAGCAAGAGGGTCAGGACTGGAGTAAATGAAGGTTGTGTCGTCAGCAAATAGAATTGGTTTGAGGTGTTGGGAGGCATTAGGAAGGTCATTAATGTAGATGAGAAAGAGGAGAGGGCCAAGTATGCTGCCCTGAGGAACACCAATGTTGATGGGTAGGGTGGGAGAAATTGTATTATTCACAGAAACATATTGGAGCCTGTCAGTAAGGTAGGACTCGAGGTATTGTAGGGAGTGTCCTCTGACTCCATAATGATGTAATTTAAGAAGAAGGTTATGGTGGTTGACAGTATCAAAAGCTTTACGCAGGTCCACAAATAACCCAACAGGGAACTCCTTTTTATCAAGAGCTGTATGAATCGAGTTAAGCATACTAATAAGTGCATCGTTAGTGCTTTTTTTGGGTCTGAAGCCATATTGGCAAGGGCTAAGTATATTGAGTTATAAAAAACAATGTATTAACTCATAATCACAATATCTCTGTAATCAATTTGAACGTTAGATCCCTAGGTAAACACTTCGATGATGTTAGTGCCTTGATTGAAGCTATTGACAACAAATTCTCTTTTATTATACTTACTGAAACATGGTTGAAAGAGGATACTACTCAGCTCTTTAACATGCCTAACTACTCAGCAATTCACAACTGTCGTCAAATTCAGAGAGGTGGTGGCACTGCTCTTTACTACCACCAAGAACTAACATGCTTAAAAGAAATTAGAACCAGAGACTGCTATGGGGAGTATATCTTCGCCAGCTTCAGAGTCAAGGGTGCCGAGTCTGTCCTGACTGTGGGTGCAGTTTATAGAATTCCTAACACTGATGTGTCCGAATTCAACTCTAACCTTAGAAATCTAATACTTGATAACAGACTGAACAAAAACCACCTAATTATCGCAGGGGACTTTAATATTGACCTCTGCGAGCCTGAACACCCCACTGCTGTTAGCTTCCTCAACTGTATGAATTCCTGCTTCCTCATACCCTTAATCACTAGACCTACTAGAATCACTGATAGCACTGCCACGACGCTCGATCACATCTGGACAAACATAACCTCTCCGCTTACTTCAGGTATAATCACCGATAGCACTACAGATCATTACCCCACATTTCTCTTAACTAACATTAGCAAACCACCTCTTGAGTCAAGAGAGATACGTTTTAGACTACACAATGAAACTGCTATAGACAATTTTATAACTGCTGCTGATAATGTCAACTGGGAGTCCGAGTTAGGTAACATAGTGGACATCAACCTAGCAGTGCAATCTTTTCTTCAAAAAACTCTTAGCCTTTATAATACCCACTGTCCTATGCTTACAAAACAAGTCACAACCAAAAGGCTTAACAATCCCTGGCTTACAAAGGGAATACTTAAATCTATTAATAAAAAACATGACCTTGAGAAGAAGTATAGGTTAGGAATTGTCTCCAAAGAATTCTCAAAGAATTACTCATTATTGCTGTCTAAGATAATTAGACGAGCCAAAACTAAATACTACGAAGATAAATTTACCCAAATAAAGAGCAACATTAAACAAACTTGGAGAACAATTTCTCAAATATTGGGATCAAAGAAGTCTTTAAATAACAAACCGACTCTCCTGTCTAATAACGATGGTCAGCTTTCAGCCTCTGATTCTGCTACTGAGTTCAATAGGTTCTTCTCTTCCATTGGTTCATCCCTTGCAAATGATATTCCATCTTCCAGTACAGACATTAATGACTATCTTTCAGGTAACTATCCACAGTCTCTGTACCTAAAGCCTATTAATTCCACTGACGTCAATGAGATAATCCTTTCCCTTAAAACCAAGTCTGGTGCCCTTGAGGAGATACCTATTTTAATTTACAAAAAAGCCTCCAGATCTTTAGCCCCTGCTATTGCTTTGCTCTTCAACAAGTCACTTGAACTCCAAACCTTCCCAGATATTCTAAAAAAAGCGAGAGTAACGCCTGTCCACAAATGTGGTAATCTCACAGATGTTAACAACTACAGACCTATATCTATCCTGCCAAACTTGTCAAAAATTTTTGAAAAACTAATCTATAAGCAGCTTTACTCATATCTAGCCAAACTCAATATACTTAGCCCTTGCCAATATGGCTTCAGACCCAAAAAAAGCACTAACGATGCACTTATTAGTATGCTTAACTCGATTCATACAGCTCTTGATAAAAATGAGTTCTCTGTTGGGTTGTTTGTGGACCTGCGTAAAGCTTTTGACACTGTCAACCACCAAAACCTTCTTCTTAAATTACATCATTATGGAGTCAGAGGACACTCCCTACAATACCTCAAATCCTACCTTACTGACAGGCTCCAATATGTTTCTGTGAATAATACAATTTCTCCCACCCTACCCATCAACATTGGTGTTCCCCAGGGCAGCATACTTGGCCCTCTCCTCTTTCTCATCTACATTAATGACCTTCCAAATGCCTCCCAACACCTCAAACCAATTCTATTTGCTGACGACACAACCTTCATTTACTCCAGTCCTGATCCCCTTGCTCTAAATGCCACAGTAAATACTGAGCTAAATAAAGTCCATCTGTGGCTAACTGCCAACAAACTCACCCTTAGCATTGACAAAACCTTTTATATTCTGTTTGGCAATAAATCCTCTAATCAAATAAATCTCAAAATAAACAATACCCAAATTTGTAACAAATTAGATGGCAAATTCCTTGGCATTCTCATTGACCACAAGCTTAATTTCCAGGGACACATTCTAAACATATCAAAAAAAGTTTCAAAAACTGTGGACATTCTTTCTAAGATCAGATATTATGTACCACGCCCTGCCCTGGTGACTCTCTATTACTCCCTTATCTATCCATATCTCAACTATGGTATTTGTGCTTGGGGCTCTACTACCCAAAATCACTTACGTCCTCTAATTACTCAACACAAAGCTGCTATTAGGACAATATCCAATTCTGGCCCCAGACATCACTCGGTACCCCTACTTAAATCTCTGAATATGTTAGACATTAAGTCACTGCACATTCTCTCATGTGTATTATACATATATAAAACGCTAAACTATAATGCCAATCCTGGTCTCAAAAGCTTCATAGAAGGTTGTATCAGAACCCATGAGCATCACACCAGAAATAAATACAGTTTTGATATTCCTAGAGTACGACTTAATCAAACTAGAAATGCTCTACAAATCAAGGGGCCCAGAATGTGGAATGACCTTCCCAACCATGTTAAAGACTGTACCTCTCTCAACCAGTTTAAGTTAAAAGCGAAGCTATACCTAATAAATTCCCTGTAACCTACCTTACCCTTCTATTGTCAACCAATGTCTGTTTTTTTTCTTTAAAGAGCGCTGTTTGTCGACATAATTGTATTTGTGCTGCTTTTTCATCTATGTTTTCATTTCTTGTTTTCATTCTACTCATTATGCTCAATTAGTATTAAGCTTGTCATTTAAGTTTATCATGCCCGAAACGCTTTGCGTAATAGTGGCTTTAGGCATTGTATGTACTAGCTATACCTATAAGTCAAACAATCCTTGTAAATATTTATTGTATGTATGTACCTTACCTAAATAAAATTGTATTGTATTGTATTGTATTGTGCATGGTTGTGCTTCAGCGGTTGTTTGTGTACTAGTGCTCCAGGTTTGTTTGCTAAGGCTCTTTAATAAATAATAAATAAATAAATGTTTATTCAGGTAAAATACTTACAAGAGGTTATACAAAAATTGATAGATTTATAGATAGAGCTAGTACATACAATGCCTAAAGCCACTATTCCGCAAAGCGTTGTGGACTGGAAAAACATTAAAGACTAAAACTTAATACTAATTGAGATTAAAGTATAAAATGTGTTGAGAACAAGTACAAATAAAAGTAAAAAAGTGGGGAACATGGCAGAAAAAGCAGCACAAATACAATTAGGTCGACAAACAGCGTTGTTTAAAAGAACAGGTATGGGTTGACAATATATTTATTTATTTATTTATTTATGCATATACAAGAATGTACATAAGGAATGTGAGGATACAAATATGGTAATTACAGTCTTGTAAAGCCACTAGCACGCGCAGCGTTTCGGGCAGGTCCTTAATCTAAGAAAATTTTAAGGAGGTAAATACTTGCAAAAATTATAGACAAAAAAATGATAACAGATTACATGAAATGAAAAAAAAGATGAGAGAAAATTGTAGGTACAGTATATTAAAGCACATAGGTAGCTGAGATTGATTGCAATGACAGCTTGAATGGTAGTTGACAAAAAATTGGTAGGCACAATACAGCAGAAACAATATAAGATTGGTTGCAATGACAGCTTGAATGGTAGTTGACAAAAATTGGTAGTCACAATACAGTATATGGCTAGCACATTAAAGAAGACAGCAATGAACACAATGATAAGGTTGTTTGATATTACATAAAAATTAGGAGATTGGGTAACACTAGGTACAGAGCAAATTTAAAGCTCAGTGTAGGAAACTAAGAAGATGAAATTATAGGGGTATAGGGGTAAGGGGTATATAGGGGTAAGGTAGGTTACAGGGAATTTATTAGGTAGTGCTTAGTTTTTATCTTAAACTGGTTAAGAGAGGTACAGTCTTTAACATGATTGGGAAGGTCATTCCACACTCTGGGTCCCTTGATTTGTAGAGCTCCGTTTATATGTTTATATGTGTGAACTATGTTTATATGTTTGCTAGAAATCCGGGTTTCTTTTTTTTTTTTTTTTTTTTTGTGTGTGTGTGTGCAGAAATAATATGAATAAAACAATTAACATCGTGTAGTGTACTCTATATATCAAAATATATTACTCTGAAATCAGTCACTTATGAAAAAATTGGGCTACTCTTATTACAAATTCGCTACTTTTTGACCGTCAGCTCGCTACTTTCAGCAATTTGTATCTGGCAACCCTGACCGGGGAGCCGACGAGCACAACAATGGCATACTATGGGCCTGGGATGTTCCTCTTTTCCAAGTGTTCTCGCCGGGTCTTAAGCATTAATTCTAGCCGCAAGTTGTCAGGTAATGGCATGAGGCGTCCCCGAGGCGGCCAGGTGCGGCTCCTGGCCAGACACCGCCGCCAACCATCATAATTGTCGGGTTTATGGTGTCGGCTTCTTGTGGGGCTTCTCCCTTAACCTTACACCAGTACGGCTCGTAATGGTCCTCGAGAGATGCTCTGTTTAACTGTTACTCATTTTATACACAGCTAATGTAACTAGTGTACCGTTATATCACACACACGTCTGGCAAAGTTTGGTTAGGTAATTGTAAAAGAAGGTGAACCATCATTGGTATGAAGTGATGCATCCCTCTGATGTAACCAAGGAGTGGAGAGTCAACTCCTACATCAGTATTTTAGTAAAGTCTGTATCCAGATTGGTAAGACTATTGTAAGGCACTATAACGAGCTGATTTGGATCATACAAAGGCATTTTGGCAAAGCTTTACAATTTTCGGAATTGTATCTATCATTAGGTTAGGCCGTGTTAGACTGGTTAGGTTGGTTTAGGTTAGATAGGCTTTAATATGTTGGCAAACCATCATGTGTTCAAGGTAACATATCCTTGAAATGGTATATATGTTAGGTTGTTTAGTTATGCTTGCTTGAGTTAGTTATATTTTAAAATTGTTGGTGAGCTATTTTGGTACAAAGTAATATGTATGAAATCTAGCATAAAGAAAATGTTTTTTTTTTTTGTATATATATAATTAGGTTGTCTTCCGGGATACTATTGCATGGTAGTGGTTGATGAAGGGTACCTCGCTGACTGCAGGTCTTCCACCAACTTCGTCAGTGATATTCAATTGGAATGCCCCCATCTGGACTACTGAATCCAAGTATTGGGATCCTTACAATAAAAAGGGCATATACATATATGTATGTATGTACAGGTATATTGAAAAAAGCTCAGTACAGTGACAGAAATCATCCCAGAACTAAGTCAGTTCTCATACCAGGAACAATTGTAGGCCTTTACACCAATGATACTACAAACCAGACACAGCAGGGCTGACCTCGTCAAGCCCTTTAAAATACTGAAGAAGATGGAGGCTATTAATCTAGAATACTTATTTAACCCTCAAACGGCTATTGAAATTGGCCGTACCTGCCTATGCACAAAAATTCCTCAAAATATTTTTTCTTTGTGGCATTATTAATTTGTATGAAAAATGTAAGAAAACTGAAAAAAATTAATTATGTAACATTTTATTGATTGGACCAGGTGATTACCTAAGTGTAGTTACAGGATGGGAGCTATGCTCGTGCTGTTGTTCGTGTCTTCCCAGTACTCTTTTATATAAAGCTTTGAAACTACTGACGGTTTTAGTCTCCACCACCACCTCACTTAACTTGTACCAACTGTCTACCACTCTGTTTGTGAAAGGGAATTTTCTTGTATTTTTTCTGCAGCTTTGTTTAGTTAGCTTAAATCTATGACTTCATGGTTTTTGAAGTTCCAGGTCTCAAGAATTTTTCCTTATCAATTTTATCAATTCACATAACTATTTTGTATGTAGTGATCATATTGCCTCTTTTCTTCTTATTTTCTTGATTTTGCATATTTATAGCATAACCTCTGCTTGTAGCTCTTGTCTTGTAGAAGCCATTTAGTTGTATGTCTTTGCACATTTTCCAGTTTGTTCACATGGTTCTTAAAGTATGGTCACCATACATCTGCTGCATATTCCAACTTTGGTCTCACAAAGGTAGTGAACAATTTCTTTAGTATTTCACCATCTATATATTTGAAAGCAATTTTGAAATTGGAAAACATAGCATAGGTTCTTCACACAATTTTTTTTGTGGTCCTCAGGTGAACGATCTAGAATCACCCCTAGTGTTTATTTGGTAGTTGTCTATGTTCGGATGAAATTAAAATTTTGCTAAGCGAGCGGTATGGGAAATGCATCTTGGAGGCATCTCTGGTTGCAACAAATCCCTCACTGCAGTGAATTGGTTATCATAACCTGAGGTTATCATCAAATGCAATTTAGTCTTTTACACCAGAAATTGAATTGCAACTCTATATTGTGTAAAGTAATAAGTAAAGAATTGAACATAAAAATCATCCAGCTTCCTCTTTAAAAAATTCAAGATGGACAACTTGGGCACACTATAATACTGTATGTGTTTATTTTTAGATTTTTACCATTTCTTATGCAATAATACAAATGTTACTAGGCTTTATTTCCTGTGGTAAAGGCTTTGTGAATCAATTGGATATATTAGTTTTGTTATGGTGTAATAACTTTAAACTGCACAAGTACTTTATTAGAAAAATAATGGAATCCTTCTTTGTGCAGGTAGTGTGAAGCGATGCAGCTCGCAAGCCAAAGTGGGGTTTATTGGACTAGGAAACATGGGGGGACCAATGGCTTCCAATCTAGTAAAGAAGGTGAGGATTGCATATAGTATTAAATTCTTTGTTTGTATATTTGTAATAGTTTTAACTTTTTCAGATTTGTTTATCTGGTTACTCTTCCCAGGACTGATTGATAAAATACATAAAGAAATCTATAATAGAATTACAGGTGATGACATAATATCCAGTTTCAATACAATTATTGACTCAAGAATTTACAAAATTTTTTATTTGAAATTAAATAATTGATTTGTTAGACATTAAAACTTAGTGCAATATTTACTGGACACTTTAATTAATATTTATAATTTTGATGACATAATCAGCTTTGATCAATTATGTGGCTAAGTTTGTATTTTTTTTTATTTCTAGTGAGTGGACTGTATATTTAAAGATTTGGTATTACATTTCAATGGACTGTAAAACATAGGTATTTTAAATCTTCTGTACAATTCTCACAGGGGGGGGGGGGAGGTTTTATAGTGTTAGTAATAAGTTCAGGTCTTACAACTTATCTTGTAATTTGTTGAAGTTAAGTCTAGAGTTACTGCTCTGAATTCGATCCTAAAACCACTTGATTGTAGACAAACATACGACAAACTTTATACTTTACAACAAAAGTACATATAACATACGGCCACAACGAAAGTACTTGCATATGGCTACAATTACTTTGCCAATAATATCTTTTGTGAAGATTTTGTATACAATAACACCATGGTCACATTTTGTCAAAATCTGTGCATTACATCAGCTTTTTGCTTGTCTTCCATGGCATCTAAGGCCATGTCATAATGGTCTAGCAATTGTGAGAGGCAGGAGCACCCTATCCTGGACTCATGTTGCCCAGAGTTATGTAGGCACTGTGAGTCCATGTATTTTGTGGTCTTACTTCTTACCACTCAATTTGTGTGGTGTGATGTTGGAGCAATTGGTCTATAATTTCATACCTCCTTTGTGAAGTGGTGTGATCTCTGCTGTATGTCAGGGATAACACCAGTACGGGTATTTAGGCTCGATCCCCAAAGGATGTTTAGGGCCTGTGATAATTTTTGTTTTTCCAATCCTTGATGAATACATATAGAATTCCAGAAGTCTGTACCTGTTGCAGAGTGCATGGACATATGGTAGTTTTGTTAAAAAGACAGGATCCAAGAGCACCCCCCATTTGGATTACTGTATCAAAGCATGGTGACCTCATTTCCAGAAGGACATAGCTGCTCTGGAGAAGGTGCAAAAAGTCATTCCAGAGCAAAGTCGTCATCTGTATCAGGAATGCTTGAAGGCCACAAGGCCTTCACTGCAACCCAGGCATGACAGAGCAGATCTCACTGAAATTTTAAAATACTGAACAAGTTAGAGGATGTTGATCTGGATATTTTCTTTAGGTCAGATGTTACGTAAACAAGGAGCAACAGTTTCAAGCTCAACAAGCCACAATGTAGGACTGAGAACAGGAGATGCTTTTTCACCGACAGGGTTGTTAACCCATGGAACTGCCTATCTGCCAAAGCCATAACTAACCAAAACTGTGTTGAGTTTTAAAATATACATAGAAAAGATCGAGGCAAAAGGGGGTGACTTTTTAACAAGCTGCTGGCTTCCTGACCTTGTCAAGGCCACTAGGGTTACTGGCCCTCAGATAAAGCGGGTAAAAAAACTCGACTACAGGTACAAATGGTAAAATACAGTACTTCAAAGTAAGTGGGTTAGGTAGACATCTGATACATGGGTTCATTTCTGGTGTCACTTTCATTAAGACTTCATTTGGATCATTAATCTTTAATGTGCTCAGGGGTTCAATGAAAACAGAATCGTACTGTAGCCTCTGTACAGTATTTCACAATACAAGATCTAGATTTTGTTCTCGAATTTGCATAGGAGAAAAAGTTTTTGGATTCCTCTCTATTACACTTATGGCCATTTGGTCTCTCTTCCTCTGGATTTTGTATGATTCTTGGAACTTTAGCTCAATCAATTTTATTTCTCTACTTTTACTTTTTGCCTTTCTTGGGATAAAATGGAGCATTTGCCTATATAAATCTGCAATTTATTTTCATTGTCTATAGAGGGAACAATGTTCTCATTCCAGTTTGTATATTTTTCTCCTTCTCCTTAGTGGGATGTAACTTGCACATATTTCTGGTGCTGCTATGCCTACTTTCTCAAAGCAGTGATTTAAGTTTACATTGTCTTTCTCAACATATTTCTGAGAGATCTTAATTTATTTGTTACCAGTTACTTCACTTGTTATTAACATTTTATTTGCTGAATTCTTCTCTTGGATTTGAGACTGCACAGGCTCATGCATGTCAGAACTTCCATTTTGTTGTGATCTGAATAACATATAGTTGTAATCATTGTCATTAATCAGTTCATCATTATTTGTAAAAATAAGATATTGGCAATTTTAATTTTTAGTAGGTTTTACTGTTTGCTGGTTTAAGACAAATCTGTCACAAATATGCAAGAGATCATTTGTCTGTGCTCATTTAGACTTCTTCCTAGACTTCTTTAGTATAACTGTATTTGCCACATTTTTCCATTTTAAGGGGCCACAAGTTGAAATCACCAAGCAAGATAACTGGGGCAGGATTTGTGAGGTTTTCTGAGCAGTATTCTATTTTTGTAAATTGGTCTTTAAACTCCCGAGGAATGATAATTTATATAGTACCAAGACAATCACCACATTTTGAATGTCTATTTTGATTATCAGTACTTCCACCATGTCAATTGTGGTGTTTAGCAGCTTTGTACAAATGTGAGTGTGTGTCTTTGATGTACAGAGTGCATTAGATAATATTTCTTTATTTTTACTGTTATGAGTTTTTAATGAAATTTCTGTAGGGAGCCCTGGAGACTCCCGGAGTTTACCAGGCTGATATGTATGTATTAGACTGTGGCATCAATCAATGGAGTTCTTGCTTACCGGGGACTACGAGCCATAACCTGGCCCCCTTAGAGGGGCATGAGGAGCAGTGGGCCTATGGAAACCCCCATGTGTTTGGAAGAATTCCATGGCTACCATCGACTGGGGTTTGGCACTCAGAAAGGTAGGCATAACGAAACAAACCCCACATGATAAAAATTGCTACCTGGAACCGAACAGGGAGGCAGAACTCCTAAACTAAAACAAGCAAACAAGCAAATGTCACTAACGCCATCGTGCTGATCGTCCGTGCAGCCTCCCCGCGCCGGCTGCTACAGCATTCAGTTCCTCGGCTGTTGTGAACTGTGGCGGTCGTCGACTCTGGCCTCTGACTCTTGCAGTTCTGTGCTTTGAGGTGTATTCTGCTGTGTATGGGTGCGCAGGGATATTTCATCAGTAATGGGGCCGCATATGCTTAAGGACCTTCTCTAAGCTCCCTGTAAGTACTGCCCTTGTCTCTTGGGGTTATCTTTCACAGGGCATTCAGGAACCGCTTCTGTAGGGGTCTTTTGCTGCTCGGCAATTGCCTGCCCTTGGGGCCAGGTGGGGTTTTTTGTTGCCACTGTTTAACCTTGGGTAGGAAGTGGTATCGTTGCTGGTAGGGGGCAAGGTATTGTGCAGCTTGTCTACCATTATACACAGTGGCCAGTTCTGTTTTCCTGGGAGGGGACATGCTTTCATGTTTTCGTTTTCTTTTTGTTCATTTTGTCTGGTGGGTGGGGGGTTCTGGTTTATCCCCCTTGGTTTATCCACCCTTCTGTTATATTGGTGGTCCTCCGCTTGGCCCCCGTGCTTGTACATATCGCAGGGGTTTAGGTTTTAGCAGTTCTCTTGGTAGTTTGGGCCCAACTGGTTGGCAATACCTTGCCTAGGCTTCCCTAGGCTTCCCTTGGCTTCCCTTAGCAGTCAGCCTAAGGTCCCTGGAAAACCCCATTGGGGCTCTTTGGACCAATGGATGCGCCCTCTGGGTACCACCTAACCGAGTGCGAGTTTGAAGGTTGCTCTGTTCCCTTGTCTTAGGGTGACACTCGCCAGTTTTACCTCCGTTATGCTGCCTGTTGGGTCAGTGACACCTTTGACCCGGAGTCATGTGAGCCTTGCTTCTTGCTCGTGCTCCAGATTACCCAATCTTCTGATATTGATGTTCGGGTACTGGCGGCTTCGGCGTTGCATGCTAGCTGTTGGTTGCTGCAGCACGCTAGGTTAGTTGCTCACCCGGATGCCCCAAGGCTGCCATGCTTGGATTATTGGGACCCGAACTTGGGGGCATTAGTCGGTTCATCTTTGGTTTCGTTTGCACTACCATGTCCTTTCCCCCAGTTGTTGTTTGTCCTGAAAGCTCCTGGCCTACCAATTGTCTGAGGGTTTCGGAATCAGGGCGGGGTTTAAATGATAGTGAGACTTGGGCAACATCGGGGACTGCCCCTTCCTGGTCGGCGACGGAGGCATTTGAGCCTACGCCTCCTGCCATGGCTTCTGGATCTTATCAGCGGGCCCCCCTTCTCAGCCTTTTCCCTGGACTCTACCTTTTCATTAAGGGCAGAGGGTGTGGAGGAGGGCTTTGCCCTGGGTCCTGGCATGGAGTACCCCGAGGTTGGGGAGTTGACTTTGAGGGGGGGAGGGGTCTGGGCCCCATTTGACCCCGCTTGGGTGTTGGTTCCCTCCTTCCCTGTACGAGTATGATTTGGGTTTGGTTCCGGGTTCCCTTGGGGGTCTTCAGTTCCTTCCCTCCAAAGGTTTTCGGCTTCTCAAATCCTGCCTAGGGGGTTCAGGCCACTGTGGCTTACCTCCTGTGAGACCCGGATTACGCCTTGGTGATGGATCCATCTTCTTTTGAGTTTAGTTCGACCTTCCATAACTGGCCGACCCCTCACAGTGTTCAAGAGAGAACTGGATAAGCACCTCCAAAGGATACCTGATCAACCAGGCTGTGACTCATACGTCAGGCTGCGAGCAGCCGCGTCCAATAGCCTGGTTGATCAGTCCAGCAACCAGGAGGCCTGGTCGACGACCGGCCGCGGGGACACTAAGCCCCGGAAGCACCTCACGGTAAAGGTTCCCCTTTTTGGTGTGTTACAATGTACCGGAGTCTTCCTGGTTAGCAGACTGCCCTTTCTTTTCATTGGGAGCATGGCATGGGTTTTGTCGGACCCACATACTTGATTGGTGGGAGACTTCAATTGTGGTACAGGTTTACCTGGGGGTGAGCTTCAGCGCCTGAACGCATGCTTGTTTTCCCCCTGTGCTTCCTTGGGTTGTTGGCATTGTGCAGCTTTATGTGCAGGTTCCCTCCCTTTCAACTGCTTTGGTGGTTACGTGCCCGTGGGCATTTGACCTCAGTCTTGCTTTTTTTTTTTTTCCCCTTCTCGAGCTATCCTCGGACTAGTTAAGAAGGATGTGGAGACGCTTGGTGCCGGGTCTTCATTTGGTGTGCTTGTCTCGGCGGCTAAGGCGTCGGCTACCTTGTTGAAGTTGTTCGCGCCGATTCACAAGGAGGCAGTGTCTGTTTTTTGCTTTTTGCCTTATGTGCCGACAGGCTGTGCTTGCTCTCTCCTTGGAATCCGCTTGGTCTCTGACTCATAGATTTTCATTGTCCTTTTGTCCGTTGCTCTTTGCAGAGTCTGCTGTCACGCAGTTCCTGCAAGCGGCATCGTCTAGTTGTTGTCCCATGTTGGACTTGTTGGTTCTCCGGGAGGCCTTCCCGGAATTGTTGTGCCAGGGGCTCGGGTTCCTCTAGGCGGGATGGTCTAGCGGGGCCAGTTTGAGCCGGCACTTCCTTTGGAGCAGGAGGCATCTGGTCGGTGCAGTGGTCGCTCTGCTCATCGGTCAGGTTCTCGTAAGGGACCTCGGCCCTTTCGTGGGTCGCCCCATTGACTGGGCGGTGGAGGGGGGGGGAGGATCACGCTGTTTGCTCATGCTTGGTCCCACGATTCGTGGGTGTTTCGGGTTTCTTCTGGCCTATGGTGGTGTTGGATGGCCTTTCTCCTCCAGGGGGTTTGGGGCTAGTGGGGCAGGCCTCTTTCCTTGCACTTGGGCGTGGTTGAAATGACCCCCATCACTCAGGTGGGTTTCCTGCCTGTTTCCAGTCCCAAAACAGGACTGTGCAGATCTGAGGTTTATTCTGGACTTGTCCCACCTGAACCTCATGGCTTTCTTGCCCCTTTTTTCGGAAGACCACTCTGTCCCAGGTCCGGCTTCTCTTGGAGCGGGATGCTTGGATGGTGTCTGGACCTCTGGGATGCATATTGGCACGTCCCAAATCATCTGAGGTTCAGAGACTGGTTAGGTTTTTTGGTGGGCTGGCAAGCCTTTCTGCTTTTATTACCTTCCATTTGCCCTGAATCTGGCACCTCGTGTATTCACGCGTCTCACCCAGATCGTGGGGCTCGTCTGCGTCTGCTAGGGGTTCGGGTTCTCGCCTACCTCAATAACTGGCTGGTGTGGGCTCCCAGCCGGTCCACGTGTCTGCTCACCAGGGGTGTGGTTCTTTCCCAGCTCGCCGGGTTCAGGTTCATGATGGATTGGAGGAAGTCACATCTGGTTCTGTCCCGTGTTTGGACTTGGCTGGGTTTTATGTGGGACTCTCGGACCGCTTCCTAGTCTCTCCCTCTAAAGTCGTTGCTGCGTCTGCAGTCCCAACTTCGTCTGTTTCTGGAGGGCTCCCGGGTCACTCGGCAGTTGCTCGAGCAGCTGTACGGGAGTCTGAACTTTACCGTGCTTGTTTACCCACCGGGTCGGGTGTGGCTTTGGCAGCTGTTCTGGTTCCTTCGGGGATCTCCCTTCTGCCACTCTAGCGATCGTTGGCTTCAGTCACCCTGGGGTTTTGCGTCAGTTGCTGTGTCGCAGGCTTCGGGGTTTAGTTTCTTGGCACCTACCTGAGCCCTCGCTCGATGTGTTCACGGATGCCTCGTCTCTCAGCTGGGACATTGGTGACCAGTGCTCACCAGGTTGGCCACTGGGCAGTGGGCTCAGTCCTTCCATCGGGCTCACAGCACTGTGCGGGAGTTCGCAGCAATTTGGCTGGCACTTTAGAGGGTTTGGGTTGCTCGGGGTTCGATGATCAAGCTCCATTTGGATTGTTCTCTGGTGGTTCATTGCCTGAACCAAGGGATTCTCTTCAGTCCTTGGCTCTTTGGGGCTGGTCTCTTTGAGTGACTGGTTTGCTGGATTCTTGGGTTTGGCTCTCCGTGCAGTTCATATCCGGGCAATTTCCAACATCCTGGTGGCCGGCCTGTCTTGGTTCATTCCTCTGTCTATGGAATGGACGGTTGATGCCGACTCCTTCAATTAGGCTCCACCGGATGTATGGACTCTCGGATGTGGACTTCTTTGGCAGCCAGTGAGTGAGGCAGGCAGGCAGTGAGGGAGGCAAGCAGGCAGTGAGGGAGGGAGGCAGGCTGGTAGGCAAGCAGGCAGTGAGGGAGGCAGGTAGGCAAGCAAGCAAGCAGTGAGGGAGGCAAGCAAGCAGGCAGTGAGGGAGGGAGGCAGGCTGGTAGGCAAGCAGGCAGTAAGGGAGGCAGGTAGGCAAGCAAGCAGGCAGTGAGAGAGGCAGGTAGGCAAGCAGGCAGTGAGGGAGGCAGGTAAGCAAGCAGGCAGTGAGGGAGGTAGGCAAGCAGACAGTGAGGGAGACAGGCAGGCAGTGAGGGAGGCAGGTAGGCAAGCAGGCAGTGAGGGAGGCAGGTGGGCAAGCAGGCAGTGAGGGAGGCAGGTAAGCAAGCAGGCAGTGAGGGAGGCAGGCAAGTAGGCAGTGAGGGAGGCAGGCAAGTAGGCAGTGAGGGAGGCAGGTAGGCAAGCAGGCAGTGAGGGAGGCAGGTAGGCAAGCAGGCAGTGAGGGAGGCAGGTAAGCAAGCAGGCAGTGAGGGAGGCAGGTAAGCAAGCAGGCAGTGAGGGAGGCAGGTAAGCAAGCAGGCAGTGAGGGAGGCAGGTAAGCAAGCAGGCAGTGAGGGAGGCAGGTAAGCAAGCAGGCAGTGAGGGAGGCAGGTAAGCAAGCAGGCAGTGAGGGAGGCAGGTAAGCAAGCAGGCAGTGAGGGAGGCAGGTAAGCAAGCAGGCAGTGAGGGAGGCAGGTAAGCAAGCAGGCAGTGAGGGAGGCAGGTAAGCAAGCAGGCAGTGAGGGAGGTAGGCAAGCAGACAGTGAGGGAGGCAGGTAGGCAAGCAGGAGCAGGCAGTGAGGGAGGCAGGTGGCTTGTGCGTGATATGTAAATTTGTGTTACAGGTTCTGGTGTCCATATATTTAGTGTTGATTCAGAGGTATTGTTGCATGGTATTTTAAACATGTATGAAAATTCAGTGATTTCACCATTCTGCCATAATTGTTAAAGTTTGCAGAGAATGAAATAGTTTTCATCAATACAAATGCTCTTCTACTTTATGAATTGAAGTACTGTATCAAAATTATATAGATGTAATTATTACTCTGTAATCAGATTAACCTCAGTAAGTTTTATTTTCAGGGTCATAGTGTTGTGGCATATGATGTTAATCCTAAGGCTATGGAAAATATTGAGGATGCAGGTGCAAGGATTGCTGCTACTCCAGCTGAGGTGGCCAGTAAAGTGGATAGTATCATCACCATGCTGCCTAATTCACAGCATGTAATATCATGCTATACTGGAGAAAAGGGAGTTTTTGAGTAAGTACATAGAGGATGGAGTTATTACTGTAGTAGTTATTTAATTCTGGGAGAACCCCTCGGTAGCTCGTCAAGCTGAGTACTCGCCCAATTGTGCTTATGGGGGTTGAGCTTTGGCTCTTTGGTCCCACTTCTCAACTATTAATCAACTGGTATGAGTGCTTGTTTAACCATGCTTTAGAGAGAAGCACTAGGCTTCTGAGACCCACCATTGCCTACCGGAAGGCAAAACCAAAATTTGGCTTGCTCTATAAGGTGAGGGGAGCTTGGTGATTGAAGATGTACCCAGAACTAAGAAAACAATTCAAAGCATAAACACAAGAAGAACACGAGCAACTGCTTGAAAGAAATTGGGTATCTAAAAGTAATGGACAATGATCATTACTGTGATGTAAACACATGAGCCATGTTGCACCTGATCTCCATCAGGTGGTAGACCATGTCATCTGGAATATGGTCAGCTGATGCCCTAAGCACAGCCCAATAACAGTGCCCCCCCCCCAGCCCTTCATTTGCTTAGCTGGCAAGACATTAACACTCATGAAGTGCTGATGGTGAAATAAACAATACAGTTTTCTTCAAGGCCAATCCTCACACCAGAACACCCAACTGTATTAAACTAGATGGGGTACAGTACTGCACTGTGCATGTGTGTGTCTTCCCCTATTCACCCCTCTGTGTAATGTCTTGGTTGCAACTCCCTTCTACCTGTAAAACTGGTCTTTGAGAGACAGACTGCATTTGGTGATAGAAATACCAAGACTATCTATATCTATGATAATTACTTTATGCTGCCACCACTCCATTATTTAAATATATATGGAAATGGAGAAACTTTGATCACAGACTCCATGCACAGTAAGTCCTTGTGATAATTATTTGGGAACAGATAAGTGACACACTCTTAATAATTACTAAGAGGTGTTTTATCTTTACTTATTGATATGAACCAATTTGATAATCTCTCAATGGGTACTTGAAGGCCATTATTACATAATCACTCATAGCGACTAAAGCTTCACAAAGACATCAGACACGCTTGATCTATTTTAGTTTAGTGCTTCATGTCTGTACCTTTCTTGAATGTTGGAATGCTATTTGCCAGATCCTGGCCTCAAGCCGGGCTTGGGGAGTAAAAGAACTCCCAGAACCCTCTCCAGGTATGCTCCAGGTAGCTCTCCAGTTTCTATGTTCAATGTTGAACACTACAGTATAATTAATGGGTAACACACTATCCCTACAGCTTCCTTCAGTAACCATAGTGATATCCGGTCTAGTCCTACTGCTTTTGCTATCCAGTTCCTCCAGGTATCTTTTTACCTCTTCTACATTAACTTAAATTCTGTCTAGTGTTGTTTCTGGTCATCTGTTGTCACCCCCTACTTGGACACTAATCAGGTTCTGGTTTGTGAACCTGTAACTCTTGTCGAGTTCTTCACATGCTTTTTTGTCACTCAAAAGTGTACCTCCCTGTCCCCACAGTTTAATCACATGGTCTTGTATTATTGTTTCTCCCAAATGTGGCTGTGCAACAACTTAGGTTGGCCCTTTGCTTTTGCTGCAGTGTCATTCTCAAAGTTCTGCTCTGCTGCTTTCCTGATTCTTGTATTCCTGGCCCTTTTTAGAGCATCTCAATTTGCCTCTGTACCCATGTCCCTACACTTTTTCACTTTTTCTATGCCTTTTTTTTCTGTTTGTTCTTACTGTTGAAACATGGGTTTGTTATTTTCCTTTTATCAATTTCTCTCCCGAGAGGTATGAACTGTTCCAGTGATTCTTTGCATTTGTGTTACAACTTCGATCACTCATTTGCTGTTTTTCTTTCCATTTCAGTCTCCGATTGTACCTCCTGCAGATAATAATCCTGCAGTCTCCTTTTCTGTATTTTCTCTTGCTCCTTGTCGTGTTTCCAACAGTTTCTAAAGTGTAATCAAACATAATAATACAGTGGTCACTGACTTCTAATGGTATCTCATATTTTAAGTTCTCTACATCATCTTCATTTTAGGTTAACACCAGGTCTAGGGAAGCTGGCAGATCATCACCTCTTTCTCTTGTTGGTTCCTTGATGTGCTGCCACAGGAAGTATTTGTTTGTAGTCTCCACAAATCTTACTCATCATATTTCAGGTATGATGAGTAACCTTTGCCCCTACTTGCAAAGGTAGGGGGTATGCTTTGAGGATCCTTTGTTGACCAGTCTGTTTCCCCGTGATTAAAATCCCCAAGTATTAGGATCTTTGCTCTGGCTCTCCTTGCCACTGTGGCCACATTTTCTATTATATTCAGGCATGTTTCATTGTATTTATCCTATTCCTCCCTTGACCTTCATGCAATTAATGGAGAGTTGTAAATAACATCAACCACCATCTTCATAGTCCTCACTGTTATCATACCTAGTAGGAAGTCCTACTGTATGATTACTTCCAGACACTATCTCCTCAAAGCTCCAATGTTGTTGTATCAGAAGGGCTACTCCTCCTTTTCCCCCCTATTTATCCTTTCTTATTACCTGGTATAATCTTGTGAATATTGCACCCTTTAATGTGTTCATCAGTTTTGCCTCCATAACTGTGATGATTTGAGTTGCAGTACTGTCACCTGTTCTTGCAGCTGTACTCCTTTATTTGTAATGCCTTCTGCATTTGTGTACCAAATTTGTATACTAATTTCTACTGTACTATTTAATTTCCCCCTATGGAGGTTAGATTCTTCATTTGGGTTAGTCCCGTTCCGGAGGGTGGCATTTGTGAGTGTTAGCCTAGTCACACACTCTCATTTCCCTAGTTGTCATTTCCAGTTTTTTTTTAACTTTCTGCTACTTCTCTAATTGCCTCCTTTGCATTTTTACCCTCTGCTATTACCTTAACCTTTTCCTTAAGCTTGTTGACACTTGCTTCCCTGCCTTGGTTCTCGAATTTCAATTTATCTCCTACAGCCCTGATGTCTTTTATTAATTTGCTACTTGTACGTAATTCCTCTTTGTTTCCCTATGGTCATTACTAGTTTGTGTATCTTCTCTCTCCCTTAGTTTTTTATCTCCATCTTCATCCATCTTATCTCCACATCTCTCCTCCTCATCTCTTCATCTACCTTTGTCTCCACTACCTCTTTATTCCGTTTCAGCTCTTCTAATGTTGTCTTCATTTCCTCCATAGTGCCTTCAATTGCTTTTCTATCCACTCTCACCCTAATCTTGATTTTCATTGCAATGTCCCATGTTGCCTTGGTTACTTCCCCTCAGTCTTATTAGCTCTACATTTCACCCCTTTACTCCCCTTTACATAGGGGAGCCGGTCGGCCGAGCGGACAGCACGCTGGACTTGTGATCCTGTGGTCCTGGGTTCAATCCCAGGCGCCGGCAAGAAACATTGGGCAGAGTTTCTTTCACCCTATGCCCCTGTTACCTAGCAGTAAAATAGGTACCTGGGTGTTAGTCAGCTGTCACGGGCTGCTTCCTGGGGGTGGAGGCCTGGTCGAGGACCGGGCTGCGGGGACACTAAAGCCCCGAAATCATCTCAAGATAGCCTCAAGATAGCCACCCCCATCTTTAATCCCTATAAACTCCCCTTTACCCATATTATTTGATTTTTGTTTTGTCTTAGAAACTGTATGCCAGGTATTTTAAACTAACTTTGCAGTATGATACTAGACTATATCCCCATCCCCCAAGTCACTTATTGAAAACTGGTGCTTGTTTATTTACAGTGTTATGTAATTACCTAAGTGTAATTACTTAGTGTAGTTACAGGATGAGAGCTACGCTCGTTGTGTCCCATCTTCCCGACACTCCTTGTCATATAATGCTTTGAAATTACTGACGAAAATTACTGAAATTAATAAATAATAGTAATTACTACTGTATTACTAATTACTTTGAAATTAATGTATTGTGGGTTGGGTGCTGACTCTTCAGCTACGTTAATGTGACTCACCTTCTGCATAGTGTGGGTGATATAATGAATGAATGAGGGTTGTTTATAATTTTATAATGCCCATGACACTTCACTATATTGCTTCTCGTTTTTTTCTCCCGACTTGCTTCTTCATTCCCTTATGAAAGCAGGAAATGAAGTAATAGTAATGTTACACACTTTAGCTTGTGGATGTATATAATACAGTACATGTTTGCCATAAGTATTAATGTTTTTCAATACAAACAGAGCAGTGCAGCCTGGGACACTTATTTTGGACAGCAGCACCATTGATCCCAGTGTGTCTAAAGAGATGGCCAGCTTAGCTCTGAAGAAAGGTGCTGTTTTCATGGATTCCCCCGTGTCTGGAGGTTTGTAATCCTAGTCTTGTGATATGCAATGAACTCACTTTTCTTATTTTAATGCCATTATCAGAGATAAGATCTTTTTAGCAAGTGTTCTTGCTTAATAATTTTGAACATTTTTATGATGGACTTTATCTAATTTTTTTTGAGGCTCTGTCATAATTGAGTATTCCCAGAAGGGATGCATTGTAGTTTTCAGTTGATCATTTATTCCAAATAGGTAATGTCTCTGAATTATCTGGAGACAACACTCAGCTCTGTTTGAACCTTTGAAGATATAAGTATGGAGGTGCAAGAAAGATCATTATTGTTAAAGGTCTAACAATATCATCATTGATGTGATATGCAGAAAGGGATGTGACCATTACATACAAAATACTGATTTGGAATAGACATGGTGCACAAGTATAGCCTCAAAATTAAGAGAAAACAGGACAAAGATTACAGTTAGAAACTGGAAAAAACTTCTTGAAGAAACACAAAAATAATCATACCTTGTATATATGGGTAGTCAACAAGTGCAATGTACTGAAGGAAGTCATGGAAGCCACCTTAACCCTTGCACTGTGCCAACCGTCATATAATTGAGTGTGCTGGTACTCCAGCTAACATTGTGATTGTTAGTACAGTGTATCATAAGATTCGAAACTCCCATTCATACAAGGGGGCGCACATTTGCTTCCTCGGGCCTCCAGTAACTATCCACCCATCTTGAAAAAACATCTTGTGCCTCACTTTCCTTCCATGGGCTTAGTAACATGGCCTAGGTTACTAAGGCCTACAAAACGTTGCTAAGGCCATGGCTTTATGAGCGTGTAGGGCAGCCATACTATGGCTGCCCTACACGTTCATGGCGTATATATATGCCATGCGAAGTTTAAGGGTTAACAATACCAAAAGAAAAATACTGTTTTTGGAACAATTTATTTTTGCCACACCATGGGAATATCATTTTAAAAGGTGCTCAGTGCAGGGGTTAATGCACAAATTTAAAAGCTAATAATACAAAGACCTGGAATGTCAAGAGTTTAAATATGAAATGCACAAAGTACAAAAAGGCTTGGAGATAGGTCATAAATAGTTACACAAATCCCGTGTGTTATTGTTTCGTAAGCACACCTGCCTAAGCCTGTTATAATTCCTGTAATTGTTAAATTCGTGTACTCATTATATTTGCTTTATTCATTGTATCAACTTGTCTTTATTAGTCATTACAGCACCCTGTAATAATAGCACCCCCATTAGTTATTACACCACTTTTCTAGTGCCTGCAGATTTAATGATATTTTTATCGGCTGTGTTAAAATGTATAACACATCTGTACATTAACCAGAGGTATTGTTTGTCAAAGAATTTATTCATATTTTTGTTTAGTGCTTCATTGAGTATATTTTTGCTGCTATCCTCACAAAACTGGGGAAATCACAGCAGAAAGCATGGGTACAACACACTAAGTGGCTGCTGGAAGGAAATTAGGCACCCCTAGGTAAATAAGGCAAATGATCATTCCCACTGTGATGTGCCTGACCACCACAAGATGGGCAGCCCAGGCCACCCGAGGATTAAGTCAATCTGCCCTTTCACTCTTCCACCTCATGGAGCCTGTCCAAAACCTGTACTCGCTGCTGGGCCTATCATCAGCTTGTCACTTTCAGCTATTATGTGTTGACCTTCCATGGAACGTTATGTTCTGCCAGAGGCTATTGGTTTATTTTGTTTATGCTTTGAAATGGCATTCATGGCACCTATATTGCCTGTGCCCTAGCATTTCCATTGTGCTCCTGATCATGGCCAGGAATCCTTTCCTAGCATCAACTTGTATTTCCCTATACACACACAGATACACTACTGAGGGGATTGTGGGCCCTCTTCTATGAGCTGACTTCTCGAGTTGCCCGTCTTTTGGTAGTGCATGAGATTTATTCTCTATCCAAGGCTTGTTCACAGAGAGGGTACAGTCTTCGCAACTCGATAATACAAAAAGTGTACTGGAATGTCATAATTTGACATAATTTGACAAAATAAGAGGGTTTGTGGAAAATATTGGTACATTTAACTCAATTTTGGCTACAGTGGTATTTTGCCAAATGTGTTAGTAAATGTTTTCTTTAGATGTAGTTTCCAGGAACTTGGAATCAAGAATCAGGATCTAACACCCAATGATCTTTATTCATGCTGAATACTGTACTTCAAAAAATAAAACAACATTAGAAGTCAATGCAGTATAAAGAACCTGTAGCCATCAAAAACTACATCACTGAATCAAGTTGGTAGCAATGATAAATTGCAAATTGATAAAACAAATTCTATACAGTATATCTCTGATGTTACAACTCCATCACATCCCTAACCTAGCCCCATCATCACTTCCACAGCTGTAACACTTGCCTATTCTCTCCTTTATAAGCACTTCCTGTGTGTATCTTGCATTTGATAAACCCCTTAAAGACAAAATTTTATTGGCAAATTTTATCTTATCTTAACTTTGTATTTATCTACATTTTTTTAACATATTGACTTTAACCTTTTGTATTTTAAGAAAAAAATGTTAGGTCTTTGAAAATCTTTACATGAACTGAGCTGAAGTGGATGCAAATGTTTTTCTGAAAAGTATTCAGAGTATTTACATTTTCTGTTTTATATTTAATTAATTTGACATTCTTTAGGTGTGAATGCTGCCAAGGCTGGAACTCTGACATTCATGGTTGGAGGAGATGAAAAGGAGTTTGAGGCAGCAAAAGGACTGCTGTCTGCCATGGGTCAAAATGTTGTTTATTGTGGTGGTGTTGGAAATGGACAAGCTGTCAAGATCTGTAATAACATGCTATTAGCCATCTCCATGATTGGCACTGCTGAAACCATGAACTTAGGGATGAGGTAATGTTCTTGCTAGAAGAGTATTTTTAGTGTTAATGTAACTCTAATGTGTTATTAGACTATTGTGAAACATGTGCTTCATGTACAAATAGATGCAGATTTTTAAGCCAGTAAAGATTTTTACTTGCATGTAGTGTTATCTTTGTGCCAAAGTACAAAAACCTGCAAATGAAGCTAAACGGTGAAGAAAAAAGCTGCTGCATTTGATAGATGGCGTCTTATTCACCCATAGTACTAGGGATCAAACTAGATTTAATATTTATATTAAGTTTCTGAAATACAGTACAGTATCTGTAGTTGAGAAATACTTAGTGGAGAGTATCTTCTGTTCACAGAAGGATATTGCATATTCTCATTAAGGAAAGACAAAGGTTATGATAACACAGAAATCACAATAGCGTGATGCATCAAATGAACAAATCCTCAAGGGCTATGACGAGGATTCGAACCTACGTCCGAGAGGATCCCAGACGCTGCCTTAACCCATAGACCGAGCATATTACTGCGAATTTAGGGGGCATAACATTGAAAAATATTCATATTATGTAAAAATAACTTAATGTTAAACAAATCTCCAACTTATTGGCTAGACATTCTCGTTGTCGAGACACCGGACTGCACCCTCCTGGGTGCCCCAATTGGCCCACAAGCAATCAAGTAGATCCTGGATGCAAAAATCACTGATCTAAAGAGAATGCTGGACAGGATTGACAAGATTGATGCCCATGATGCTCTCTTCCTCCTCACAAGATGCCTATCTCTCCCTAAGTTGATCTACTTTCTGAGATGTTGTACATCCTAAATTAAATGTGTATGACACCCTTCTGAGGTCCATGCTGGAGAAAGTCCTGAACCTGTCATTGGACGACTCTCAGTGGAAGCAAGCAACCCTCCCGGAAGACTCGGCGGCCTAAGTGTCCGCACAGCCTCCCAGATTGCTCTACCAGCCTTCCTTTCCTCCTCCCATGCATCGCACGATCTCGTAAGAGATATCCTACCTGAATTCCTGATAATTCAGCAGGAATACACACTCCTGTTTTCACTGAATGTTCAAATCAGTGAAATGCTCTTGCAGCCCCAGCACCCATCATAGAACTAGCAAAAAAAAATTAGTCCAGCTGGGACCACCTTCTAGTAGAAAAAATAGCTGATGCCATGCTCAGAGCCGCAACATCAGACAAGGAGAAAGCTCGCCTCAGAGAAGTGCCTGCCCCCCATGCAGGAGACTTCCTCCTGGCAGTACTCATGTCAGCAATGGGCATACGTCTAGATCCAGAATCCCTTCGTGTAGCAGTGGCCCTCCACCTTGGTGCCCCAATTCACACTGAATACAAGTGTATTTGCAACAGGGTGGAAGCAGACCAATATGGACTGCATGGGTTGCATGGCGGAAGCACAAAGGGGCTGGCATGCGAGAGACAACGAGGTCAATGACATCATCAAGAGGAGCCTCGTCTCGGCTCAGTGCCCAGCGGAGAGAGAACCTCGCATCCTAGGGGGGCCAAAACCCGGATTTCCCCGTACATCGCCCTGATGGCATCACCATATACTCCTGGAAGAGGGGCAAGCACTTGGTGTGTGGGACTACACGTGTGTATCCACCCTGGCTGACACCTATGTACACTTCGGGCCTGATCAAGCAGGTGGGGCGGCCAACCACAGGGAAATAACAAAGTCAGTCAAATACAGGCTATTGGAAGGTCAATACATCTTGTTTCCATAGCGTCTGAGATGCATGGCCTCTGGGGCAAGTGTGCCTTGGGATTTCTCAAGGAATTGGACTCCAAGCTCATTGACGTCACCAGGGACCC